TTCCACAGCCTCCAGTGGAAGGTTTCCCTCAGAGCCTTGCCACCCCAAGTTCTCCCTTAGCAGAATGCAGCACCTGCCCAGACCCTTGGGTTGCCCCCTGCAGAGGAAATCCCACCCCTCAACCCTGCCTCTCCCCCCAAAAATCCCCCCCAGCAGAGTGCACAGGGCACCCACTCTCATCCATCCACCCCTCCAAGAGAAAGATTCCCTTCAGCAGTGACAGGGAACAGGCTCCCCCAACAAAGGTTCTCCCTAAAAACCCTGTAACACGCCCCCCAAAAGCTCCCAACAGCAGTGGAGCAGAAAGACCTGCCCCACCACACAAGAAAGTTCTCCCCAGAACCCTGTCCCCAAAGATTCCCACCCTCAGTGCAGCACAGAGCCCTGTCCTTCCTCCAACAGGTTCTCCCCAGAACCGTGCCAAGAGCTGACCCGAGCAGGGTGTGGGTCCCAGGGCAAATCAGCACATGCGGGGCCCTGCCCCCACTCCAATCTGGGCCCAGAAGAAGCTGCTGCTGCCGGCATCCGTGTGGGGGAGAGGGGCTAGCGAGTGGCTGGATGTGGAGCCACTGACCAGCAGGGCTCTGCACTGCCCCACTCCGTGGGGCCTGGGGCAGTTGCCCTGATTCGTCTTCGTCCCCCCCCAGAGAAAGGTTGCCCTCAGCAGAGTGTATGGGGCACCCGCCCCCTCACAAAGCCTTTTCACTTCCTGTAAATAAAGGCTCCCCCCGTAAAACCCTCCCCCACAGACAAAGGTTCCCCTCAGTACAGAGTGCAATGGGGAACCCTGCCCTCACTCCCCTCAGGACAGTGCAACAGGGAATCTGGTCTCCCACCACAGAAAAGGTGTCCTCCTAAAACCCTGTCCTACAACCCCAAGGAAAAGGTTCCCTCAGCAGAGTGCAACAAGCAATCATGTTCCTATACAGCTCCTGCCCCCCCATGCAATGGACACCATAGTCTTCTGCTGTGGGGGGGGTTCCTAGTGCCCTCCCCTCAAGAATACTCACATGTCGGGGGAGGAGAGTGGGCGTTTGCCTGCTGGCTTGGCCATGGAGCCATCCTTGCTGGACTCTGCAACCAACAGACAGGGCCCATAAGAGAACCTAGGCATCCAGGTTCCTCAGCTCCCTCCCCACCCCCCACAACTCACAAGCTCCCCAGAGAGAATCCAGGTGTCTGAGCAGCCCCCTCCCCATGGAGACAGAACCCAGGCATCTCTTAAGTCACCTACCTGCTCCATCAGAGGATGGGACACAGGTGTCTGAGTGGGAAAACAGGCAGTCCCTGGCATACCTGCTCCTTCCCAACCTCAGCTGCAACCCTCCTGCCATGTGAGCAACCTCCTCCCCAGGTGCCTAGAAGCTGTCTCCTTCCCAACTCCTAGGAAACTCAGGTGACCAGGTGAGTGTGTGCAGCTCTGGGCAAACCTGCCCCCTCCCTAGCCCCCTTGACATCTGGGCAACCCCCTCCCTACCCCAACCTGGGTTCTGTAGCGGGGAAAGAGGTGGCCCTGGTGTACCTGCCACCTTTCTGGCACAGAACCCAGGCATACAGGTGGGCAAAGATGCAACCCCTGATATGCCTGCTCCCTCCACAGCTCTCCTGGCATCCACCCTTGTTTCCCACTCCTACCCCACAGAATCCAGGTGTCCAGGGTGGGCTCACCTTGGAGCCACCGCACCTGGGTGGCAGGGCCATAGCCCTTATCATTGCGGGCAGCAATACGGAAGATAATGGCCGGCTTGGTGGTGTAGTCAATATGGGCACTGGACAGGCTGCCTGACTGCACCAGGCATGAGGGGCTTGGCCCACAGTAGACCCTCATGAAGGCCAGCTGGGCTGGCCCTGGCCCTGCACCGCCAGCTGGGCCTGGCCCTGCCCCCTTGGGCTCAGGCCCTGCCCCTGCACTCTGGATGGCCAGGTACACCGAGTACTCGATGATCTTGCCGGATGTCACTGAGGGGGGCTCCCAGGTCAGGTGTGCTCCATCTGGGCTCTGCAGGAGGAGGGGGGGGGAGTTAGAAGGGAGGGGGGCGAGTTTGGGGGGCAACCCCCAATCCCCACCCCTTAGTAGGGCCTCATTGGGTGCAGACACACAGCTCTGAACCTGGGATAATGCCATAGGGAAAGCAGTGTAGGCACAGCTGGGACCTAGGAGTTTGGGATACAGAAGCACAGGTACAGAACCCAGGCATCTGATATAGACACAAAGACATGTACCGACAGAGTCAAATTCCACATGTCTACAAAACCCCCATGCCCAGAACACCCAGGCATTTGACACACCTGTGCCCCACAAACACAAATGCATGCATTCGCACAAAAGATCCTGACATCTATCATAGACACATATACACGCACAAAGGAGGACAAAGGCGTCGCATGGACACGCGCACAAACACACACACAAAGGGGCCCAGGCAGCGCACACACACACACACACACACACACACACACACACACACACACACACACACACGAGGCCCAGGCATCTATCACAACCACACACAAACAGCCCAGGCATCTCTCTCTCTCCCCCCCCCGCCCATAACCCCACACCCGAGGCATCTCACCCCCCCCCCAGCATCTCTCTCACTCACACACACACACACACACACACACACACACACACACACCCCCACCAGGCATCACACACACATACACAAAGCCACGGAAACTCTCACACACGCACACAAAAAGCACAGGCAAGTCTCACAAAAAGACTCACACACACACACACACACACACACACACACACACACACACACACACACAGAGC